TAGAAACACCCTTCCTGACAGAGGATTTGGCACAGCGTGGATGTGTCTCAGTCTCCAAAAGCAAGTGCAACTAAAACAATTATTGCCCAGTTGCACCTAATATAAAAAGAGCTGCTGCACAGAAGAAATGACCAACAGAGTGAACAGACGGCCTACACAACGGGAAAAAATGTTCCCACAGCATGCATTGATGAAGGCTAATCTCCCGGATCTACCTTAAAGATGTTAAGCAAATAAACCAGGAAAACAAAAACTCAACGAAGAAAGGGCAGGGGGCGTGAAAACATGCACCTCAAAGAAGGCTTACAGCAACCAACAGACATGACAACACTTCTCTGCCTCAGTCAGCATCAGAAAAAGGCAAAGCAAAAGGCCCACGAGATAGTATTTCACACTGGCCAGAATGACGATTAGGACACAGTCCACAAGAACGAATGCAGGAGAGGCAGAGGACAGGGACGCTGCTCTGCTGCTGATGGAAATGCAAACCAGTTCAGACACCATGGAAAGCAACGTGGGGATTTCTCGAATGACTTTCTCCACATCACTAATACTCACAAAAACGTCCATGAAAACCATGCTAAGATTCTGTCTCCTTCCACTCACTATGAATACTACCAAAAACAAAACACAAATTTTGGAAGGCGCCAGCCAGTGTAGACTTACAGAAAGGTAACCTCTTCATCACTATTGGTGGAGACATAAACTAGTATACACACACTGAGAAACAGCAAGAGGTTCCTGAAAAACTTCACGGTACAACTACCATGTCAGCTGGCAGCCCCGCCACTGGTTCCACATTTAAAGCAGCTGAAATCCCTGGGCTGAAGAGAGCTATCTGCCTTCCATGGGTACTGAAGCACTTGCAACTGTGGCCAAAGTATGGAAGAACCTACCTGTCCACCCACAGCTGCAGGGATGAAGAAACTGCGGTACAGATACACCATGGAGTATGTTCCAGCCATAAAGCTCTGGGAAATCCTGCCATCTGCAGCCACATGAAGAAACCTGGAGAACATCAGGTCCAACGAATGAGCCTGGTAGAGAAAGTCCCGTTCCACACGATCTCAGGCATGCAGACTGAAAATATCTTCATCTCCTAGAAGCAGAAAGTTCAATAGGGGTTACTAGAGGTCGCTGGGAAGATGGAGAGGGTCTGGGAAGAAATCAGTAATGGTAAAAACTTCCCCTCAGATGAGAGCAATCAATTCTGGTCTTCTATTCCACAGCAGGGTGACTGGCCTTAACACAAATATATCATATGTCTCAAAGTAGCTAGAAGAAAATATTCTGAATGTTGTTACCACACAAAAATATCATAACTATACAAGGTGAAGAGCTGCTAAATAACCCAATTTGATCATTACTCAGAATACACATGTATCAAAATCTTCCCTGTACCCTCTAATTATATACATTTATATATGGCAAATGGTGTTTTAAGATATATAAAGAAAACAAGGCCAAAATTTATATGGAAATGTGAAATACCCTGAATTTCCACAGTTACCCTGAGAAACACGAACCATGTGGCATGTATCACATTCCCTGAATTCTAATTAAATGAAAATCCCTAGTTAACCCACCCATATGCTACTGGTAAACACAGAGCAACACAGACCAGTGAGCAAAACGAGGGCGTTTAATAATAAACAGAAATTTATATACAGTGAATATGTTTTTCAAAACACTACCAACTGACACAATGGGGAAGGTTTTCAAAACTAGGTGTCCATATGCAAAAGAATAATACAGGACTCTCATTGTATGAAATACACAATAATCAACTGAAAAGGATTAAAGATTATACACAAAACTTGCAACCATAAAGCTCCTAAAAAGACAACCTCAGTGTGCGGATATTTACTGCACTTGGATGTATGCTCACGATTTGCAAAAACAAAAATACAAGGAAAAGAAAATCGTGGCCAATGGACTGCTTTGGTAGTGATTGAGTTTTTTCTTCATTAGTAACCAACAGCACAGCTAACCAAGAAATCATACACAGGTGGGGCCACGTCACACTGAAGAGTTTGTGTCTAACAAACAACGAACAGAATGAAAAAGCATACTAAAAACTGTAAGAAACATTTGGGCAAACATTCAGTTGGATAAGGGATTATTTTTGAAAAGGTACAAGCCAGTAACACTACCGGCTGGCCAAAAACAAACAAAAAAAGCAGAAAAATAACCAAACCAAATAACCCGAAGAGATATGTGTGCAGATAAGAAACTCATGCAACTTTTGCAAAAATGTGGTTACCATTACTATGCTGAGAAAAATGAAGACCAATACCACACTCAGACCTTACCTAACTCCAACTAGAATGAACATTACAAACAGATTAAAATATTTAAAAAGACAACTTCTAGTATGAATTTCCACAAAGGGGAACTGTTTGTGGAAACGTAAATTAGTATTAACGCTAATACTTTGGGGGTCCTGCAAAGAATAGAAAAGAAAAAATAGCATACCATCTAGCATTCCCACTACTGGGTATACATTCAACCTACCTGTCCATCCACAAAGGGATCAAGAAACTCTTGTATGCATACACTAGGGAATATTCTTCGGCCACCGAAATGATGATTAAACAGTGTCATGTGGAGCAACCCAGATGAACCTGGAAAACATGATGTTAAACATAATGAGCTGGGCCAAGAAAGACAAACACTGAATCTTAAGATGTCTGTCTTAAAGAGGTAGAAAGCACAGTACTGGCTACCAGGGTCTGTCTGGGAGATAGAGGAGGAAGTAGGGATTGGTCATGGAAGCAAAGTTATCTTAACCTTAAAGGAATCAATCTGAGTGTTCTCCTCCTCAGCCTGGTGACTGGAGTTAAGAATATTATATTTTTCAAAAGAACAAGAAAGGAGAATTTTATGTGTTCGCTCCACACAAAAATAATACCTTATGAGGGAACAGAGATCCTAAGTACCCTGATTTGATCATTACCCAATCTACACATGTGAAAATGAACCCCTAATTATGCACCTTTATGTTGTGGAAAAAAAAAGTTAACAGAAATAATACATATTGCTAAAAATCACAGGGAACCATAAAGCAATTCATATCTTAAAGGAATCCTGAGAAATACAATCAAAGTGAGGACCCACAATCCTCGATATTAAATCACACTGCCAAGCTGCAGTTATGCAGCACATATATGGTACCTGGATAAAAACAATACCTAGAATTGTGGATGAAAATGGGGAGGACAAAACAAGATCACGCAAATACAGGACATAGTCAAGTCAATTTGATAAAGACCACCGCAGTGTGGAAGGCAGAGTCTGCTCAATGAATACCTTTGAGAGAAATGTTATCTGAATGCAGAATAGAGAAACAGGACCCTGATTTTACATGATATATGAAAATCAACCCACCCCGGCAAAAAACAAACCAAAAAAAAACCCCCAAAGACCAGAACAAAAGACCATTAACCACAAATGTTTTTAACTAAAACACAGGTTGAGCATATATTCTGTTGAAGCAAACACCCTGGAAGAAAAACCTCACTGACAATTAAATGCTTTGTCACTGATAAGTATTTTCTTATATGGGTGACCAAAATTACATGCATAAAACGCAAAAATAAACATGGACTACATCAACCTGAAAAGTTTCTGCACGGCAAAGAAACTACTTTCCAAATTTAAAAGCATCCTATAGATTAGGCAAAAATTTCAGGTAATCATGTAGTTCATGAGTTGTCATCTAAGGTGTACACAACAAACACTACAAAGTAGCAAAAGAATCTAGTATTTCGCAAAGGACCTGAATAGACAATTCTGCGACAGAAAATCGAATAACAGATAAAAGGTCCTCAAAATTAACTATCCAACAAAGTTAATTTACCGTGTGTGGTTTAACTGAAAACCCACACACAGATAATCTCACACTTACTGAATAGTCCTAGAAAGTTTTTTAAAAATAGGAGAGGCCAGGCTCGGTGGCTTATGCCAGTAATCCCAGAACTTTTGGGAGTCCAAGGCAGCAGATCATCTGAGGTCAAGAGTTGAGACCAGGCTGATCAATATTGAGAAACCCCGTCTTTACTACTGATACAAAAATTAGCCTGGCGCGATGGCAGGCCCCTGTCGTCCAGCTACTCAGGAGGCTGAGACAGGAAAATTGTTTGAACCCAGGAAGCGCAGGTTGCAGTGAGGCCAGATGGCACCACTGCCCTCCAGCAGAGGCAGAGCGAGATTGTCCTCCAAAGCAAAAAAAAAAAGGAACACGGGTATGGTTTTGGAGAAAAGGGAACTCATACACTAAATGAAAATCAGAATAGACATCACGGAAAACAGCTAAATACCTGAAGACTCCTCAAAAAATTGACACTACAAAGGTCACCTGTTCTATTGTGTTTTAGCGAGGTCTCTAGATTTCCAAAGGTCCTGAAACATCAAAATAACCCTGGACCTCAGCTCAGAGGCCAGGGGCTCGGAGGGTCCCAGATCCCGCGCTTCACCGCGGCCTCTGAGCTAGGCGCTACTATACGCTGGACACGGGTCGCACACCGTTCCCGGCCAGGGTGCTCACGCTGGGGCGGCCAGGACCCCACAACCACCACCACGCAGACTACTGGGGCCCAGATGCCCATAAGGAGTCAGGGCCCAAAAGCGAGCGGCGGGGAAGGACCAGGGAGGCCCGGAGGGTTCCCAATGGAGTCCATGCCCCGCCACTTACCGCGGAAGCCTCGATCCTGCTCCCCCATCACATGGAAGCCACCACAGCTTCTCCGAAGCTCGCCGCTTCTGGACGCCGCCACTTCTGCTCGCTGGACACCTACTCCACTTTTGCCGGCTGGGACCGCGCGATAGCTTCGGCTCGCTGGGAAGCCGACTGCGCTTCTGCTCATTAGGACTACGCCGCCCACTGTGGCCGCCGCTTTTGCTCGCTCCGACCACATGGCCGCCGCTTCCGCTCGCTTCAAAGACGCTGCCGGTTCCGCCGGGGCCCCGCGGAAAGCGCCGTCTCGGCTTCCGTAGAGGCGCGCACACCAATAGCGTCATAGCGACTGGCTGCAGCACCACCCCCTCTTAAAGGGGCCGCGGCTCGGACTGCACAGAAGCAGCTTCGCGTTGCGGCACAGGCTGAGCCTCTGCCCAGCCCCAGCGGTAGACCAAAGGTACCCAGTCTCTCCTCCCGGCTCTAGGGCCCTAGAGGTGGCAGGAGTGGAGCCCTGTGACCCCAGCCCCGAGATCGGCTCCCTTTGCCTGGGGAGCATTCCAGGACCTGCCGCTGCCCTCCTCTGGACCTCAGCTTCACCATCCCCAAAGGAAGCGGCCTGGCCGAGCTCTGGGGTCCCTCAAGCGCGGCGCCTCAGGATGCAGAGCGGGCTCCCTGATCCCTCTGCAGAGGGGGCCCTTACAACCACGGAAAGCTGGGGGCTGGAGGGGACAGTCCAGCGGAGGCCTCCCCAGTCTCCCTGTCCGCATCCCCCCTGTGGGAGCCCGGTGGGCCTCATCGGGGCTGCCTGGGTCACCCGGCTCCCCAGGGCAGGCAGGGGCCCTGGGGTCCAGCGCCGCCGCACCTCAACTCCATCCTAGGTCAGCGCCCGGAGGGGCCCTGCGGACTGGACCCAGCCCGCCCCTTCCCAGGGAGAGGGACCCGCATCGCATCTGTCTCTGTAGCACCCACGGGAGGGCCGTGCTGGCTCTCCCGGGGATCTGGGGCGAGGCGGGGGAATCCCAGCCACCTGGCCATCATGCTGAAAACCTCGTCTCTACTAAAAATACAAAAATTAACCGGGCGTGGTGGCGGCCCGCCTGTAATCCCAGCTGAGGCAGCAGAACCGCTTGAACCCGAGAGGAGGTTGCAGATCTGGGGTCACTGCAGCCTCCGCCTCCCAGGCTCAAGCAATTCTCCTTGCCTCAGCTTCCTGAGTAGCTGGGATATACAGGCACACGCCACCGTGCGTGGATGTTTGTATTTTAGTAAAGACAGGGTTTCACCATATTGCCCAGGCTGGTCTCAAACTCCTGACCTTGCTGATCTGCCATCTTGGCCCTCCCAAAGTGCTGAGATTACAGTGTGAGCCACCTTGTCTGGCCGGGTCAGGAGTTCAAGACCAGCCGACCAACATGCTGAAACCACGTCTCTCCTAAAAATACCAAAAATTAGCCAGGCATGATGGCACATGCCTGTGATCCCCAGCTACTTGGGAGGCTGAGGCATGAGAATCACTTGAAACCCAGGAGGCGGAGGTTGCAGTGAGCCAAGATCGAGCCACTGTATTCCAGCCTGGGCGACAGAGCGCGACTTCATCTCAAAACAAAAGAAAAACAAAATAATAGTCAAAATGGTAGAGACAGAAAGTAGAATGGTGGTTGCCAGGCATGGCAGAGGAGGGAACAGGGAGTGTTTGTATTTAACAAGTAGAGAGGCACCAAAGCACGCTGAGAGTGCCCCCAGCCCGGGAGCGAAGCCCGATCAGCTTGGCTAGGGCTTGCATGGGGGAACACTGGAGGGACAGGGGGCTGGAGACTTGTGGCTTCTTGCCCTCCTTACTGCTTTCCTCCAATTGTCACAACTCTTTCCTATCTGCCCCCAACTCTTTGGCCAGCCCCTTTGCGCCTGCCTGCACACCCTGCTCTGGCGTGGGACCTCTCCTCTTTGAAGGCACCAAATTCCATTGAAGCTAAGAGGGGTTCGATCCTGGCTTGGGCTAGGATTGGGGACTGACCAAGGAGATGGGGGCTGGTTGCTTTTGGCTTCTAACTCTTTTCCCATTTTTCCTGCTTGCCACAAAGCGTTCCAACAGCCCAATGATTCTCTGGCTTGCCTTATTGACTTCCACACACTCTGTGCTCACTCTGTGTCGTGAGTGTCCCTGAGGAGGACCGTGATAGCAGCCCTTGGCTTCATAGCAGCCTGAGGGTGCCCAACATAGAAGCTAAGTGGGGTAGAGCTTTTGGTGGGGCTTGGAGAGGGGACTACTTGGGAGACTGTGGTCTAGAGGCTCTTGGCTTCCCACTCCCGCTTCTCTTTTTTTTTTTTTTTGCTTGTCACAACACTTCCCAACTACTCGCTAACCCTCTGGCATTTCTTTTCCAGCTAACCTGCCCCCCACCCGTGGCCAGGCACCTGCCTATGGGGCTTCATCTATGCAGCCTCTGCAAACCACAGCAGTCTGAAGGTCAGGGTGTGGTCGAGAAATGTTGCTGCAAGGGGGAAAAGCTGGAAGCCTGGTCATTCCAGTGGTACCCCATCCAAGCATCTGTTAGGCTCAACCCTGCTTAGCTTCTGGGCTGGGGGTCCTCAGTCTACTATGGTGATGGGAGGCTGCTGAAACAAAACCCCCATGGAGAAGTTGCAGTTCGAGGTGGGGGCACTGGAGGGAGGAAATGGGAGATTAGGGAGTCAGAGGGCAGTTGGAAATGGTTGCCAAAAGTGAAGGAAAGCAGAAAGTTAGCAGGAGGTCCAAAAGTCTCCAGCCACTGGACTCCCAAGGTGGTCCCTCATGCCCCTCCTACTGCTCAGCTTGCATGCGGGGCACCCTCAGGCTGCTATGCCAACTGGAGTCAGCCCAGCTAATTTTTGTATTTTTAGTAAAGACGGGGTTTCACCATGTTGACCAGGATGGTCTCAATCTCTTGACCTCGTGATCCACCCGCCTCGGCCTCCCGAAGTGCTGGGATTACAGGCTTGAGCCACCGCACCCAGCCTACTTTTGTTTTAATTGGCTATTTTGTGAGCATAACAACAAACAGAATACTTCAGACAGAAATGGCCTCTGGCCGGCATGATCCAGGGATGTGAAGCTCAAGAACAGACACTGCTATGTGCAGTGCCAGAAGCCAGGGCACCAGCGGCGCAGGAAATGTACTGCAGGAGAAAGAACACGAGGACACCTCCACCAGGTGGCAGCCACATGGGCGTATAGATGTTAAAGTAACAATAAATTTTAAAAAGAATCACACATGTTATGGACTAAATGTATCCCCCAAAATTCATATGTTGAAGCCTTGAAGCCAGGTGCAGTGGCTCATGCCTATAATCCCAGCACTTTGGGAGGCCAAGGCAGGAGGAGCTCTTGAATCTAGGAGTTCAAGACCAGCCTGGGCAACATGGCCAAACCTTTTCTATACAAAAAAATTTTTTTAAAACCTTAGCCAGTGTGGTGGCACATGCCTGCGGTCCCAGCTACTCAGGAGACTGAGGTAGGAGGATTGCTTGAGCCCAGGAGGTTGAGGCTGCAGTGAGCCATGATCGCATCACTGTACTCCAGCCTGGTCAACACAGTGAGACCCTGTCTCAAAAAAAAAAAAAAAAAACTAACCTCCAATGTCCACAGTGCAGTATATGGAGGGGGGGGCCTTTGGGATACAATTAGGTTAGATGAGGATGGGGCCCCTTCAATGGAATTAGTGGCCTTCTAAGAAGAGGAAGAGACACCATAACTGCCCTCTTCCTCCTCCTCCCCTTCATGCTCCGCCCCCTTCCTCCCACCTTCCTTGTGAGGACCAGGGGCCATCTGCAAACCCAAGGAGAGAGCCCTTGCCGGACCTGAATCCACAGCCCCTCGAAAGCTGGGCTTCCAGCATGCAGAACTGTGAGGGATGAACATGCCTTGTTTAAGCCCAGTCCATTCAGCAGTATTCCATTCCAGCAGCCCAGGAAAGCTAAGTCTACACAGCAGGAAAATGCTGAAGCCACAAGGAACCCAGGGGTCTGATTTCCAGAGCTTTCATCATGACTACCCCGTGTTTGCTTTCCTAGAGAGGACTCTAGAAACCTGAACCCGCCCCCCTTCAGCTCCCCACTCCCTGGCAAAGGGCTCCAGCTGCTCTGGATGATGAGGAAGCCGGGCACCTCTGACAAGGTAACTCCTCGTGGGCTGCAGGAAGGGTACCCTCTTTAGCCATCTTGCCACAAGAGTACAATGAACAAAGGAAAACAGACAATTTATTCCTTATGCATTTGGGGTCGTGCTTACTGCTGTGTCTGATCTCCGTTGGCTGGAGCCAGAACTTACAATCTAAACTAAAACCCAATTGGCTAATAACTTAAAACTTTTCTTTTCTTTTTTTTTCTTTTTTTTTTGAGATGGAGTTTCGCTGTTACCCAGACTGGAGTGCAATGGCACGATCATGGCTCACTGCAACCTCCGCCTCCTGGGTTCAAGCAATTCTGCCTCGGCCTCCCGAGTAGCTGGGACTACAGGCACGCACCACCATGCCTGGCTAATTTTTGTATTTTTAGTAGAGACGGGGTTTCACCATGTTAGGTCAGGCTGGTCTTGAACTCCTGACCTCACGTGAACCACCAATCTCAGCCTCCCAAAGTACTGGGATTACAGGCGTCAGCCACCATGCCTGGCTAAGTTCCTTTTTTTTTTTTTTTCTTGAGAGGGAGTTTACTCTTGTTGCCCAGGCTGGAGTGTAATGGCACAATCTCGGCTCACTACACCTCTTCCTCCAAGATTCAAGTGATTTTCCTGTCTCAACCTCCTGAGTAGCTGAGATTACAGGCACCCACCACCACACCTGGATAATTTTAGCGTTTTAGTAGAGATGGGGTTTCACCATGTTGGTCAGGCTAGTCTCAAACTCCTGACCTCAGGTGATCCACCCACCTTGACCTCCCAAAATGCTGGGATTACAGGTGTGAGCCACTGTGCCTGGTCAATACTTTTAGTTCTTATTTGTAACTCTCCCTAGGGGTTTAGCTGGCAGAATTTGAACATTTCTGGGTTGGTGGTGACGATATTAACAAGTACGCTAAAATATATCAACAATTTTTCTGTGTTCGCAGCAAGCTGCTGTAGGCACCACCTCAGAACTTCAGGTGTGGGCCACGATTTTCTGCATGGCCCCAGCAACTCCTGGAATCCATAACCTGACCAGGAACGTCAGAGTGCGTTTGTGATTTTCACAATCATGACCGTGGCAGGAATTGTGTAAAATGAACATATAGTCATTGGCTTTACGTAACCACTGAGGCTGCTTCACAATGCTGGGCAGGGTCTGGTACCTCTGTAGGCTGGAGTGCTTAGACACACTTAGACAGCTTCAGGGCTCAGACACGCAGTCTGTACTTGCTCACTGGGGATTCATGATACAGTGGCTTAGACATAGAAAGAAAGAACATGGTTTTCTGTGTTATTTCACCAGGAGAAGCACATCCCCACTTGTCTCTTACAACTTTATTTCCAGGATGCCTCCTCTGAGTAGTTCTCAAAATGTCTGAATGTTGAGAGACCCCCACTGTTTTATTTAGTGTGTGTGTGTGTGTGTGTGTGTGTGTGTCTGTGTGTGTGAGAGAAAGAGAGAGAGATGGAGTCTTGCTCTGTCACCAGGCTAGGTGCGGTGACACGATCTTCACCTCCCAGGTTCAAGCGATTCTCCTGCCTCAGCTTCCCAAGTAGCTGGGACTACAGGCATGTGCCACCATGCCCAGCTAATTTTTGTATTTTTAGTAGAGAGGGGTTGGCCAGGATGGTCTTGATCTCTGACCTTGTGATCTGCCCACCTTGGCCTCCCAAAGTGCTGGGATTACAGGCGTGAGCCACTGCACCTTGCCGAGAGCTGGTCTTAACACAGCTGGAGGTGGTTCACATTAAAATCGGGAGGAAGGTGTTACTGTACGCAGACGATTCTTCTCAAATGTCATAGATTTCTCCCGTACTTGCTTAATTAGTGGTTGAAATGATAGTGATGGCACTTTTGTTATTTCCATTTCAAATTATAAGTAGAATGATTTTTTAATCAAATTATATAATTATTAAGTCCAAGTGAACAAGATATATGTCCACTGGCTAGTCATCGTCAGAGTGTCAGGGTCACTGAGGATGTAACAATCATTCATCCTGCCTCTTACTGGCGCTCTGAGGAAGGCACTCCTGCTCTGTAGGGGATAGAAACTGTCCTTCATAGTCCCATTACGTCATTTTCCTGCATACAGAGTCTTCCACAGTGGGTCCTAGTCATTTCTCCTGTTTTCCCTTCATCTCCTGTCTCCCTTTTCTGAGAGTCTGATTCCATCTAGCACCCCTTCTCTTCCTGGGAGGCCAGTTCTTCCCGGGTCAACCTCAGGGCTGCAGTACAGAGTTTCAATCCTCTTCCCCTTCCCTTTCTTTCTCCTTCCCCTTCCCTTCTTTTCTTTCTCTTTCCTCCCACCCCTCCTTCTTTCCTTCCATCCTTCCCCTCTCTCTTTATCTGTCTCTCTCTTGAGAAACAGGACATATTCCTGTTAAAGCAGATGCTCGTTCATCTCCAAAGCTCATAGAGGAACCCAGACCTGGGCCAGAGACCCTCAGGGTGCTGTGGTTTAATGGCCTGGAGGTGACCCTGCCAATCACACAGACATTGCAGGCTCAGAGGGAGGAGCCCCTTGGAAAGAGAGGTGAGCAGAGGCTGGGACATTTGTGCAGACAAAGTCCCCAGACAACTCGTAGAATCTTTCTTTTCTACTTTTGACAGGGTCTTGCATGCAGGCTGGAGTGCGGTGACACGGTCACAGCTCACTGCAACCTTGACCTACTGGATTCAAGGGCCTTCCCACCTCAGCTTCTCAAGTAATTGGGACCACAGGTACATTCCACCAACCCATTTATTTTTATTTTTATTTGTGTAAATGGGGTCTCATTTTGTCACCCAGGCTGGTTTCAAACTCCTGGCTTCGTGGCATCTTCTCACCTTGACCTCCCAAGGTGCTGTGATTGCAGCCATGAGCCACCATACCCAGCCCCCTTTCTCTTTAAAATATTGGCATTTGCCAAGAGATCGAGACCACCCTGGTCAACATGGTTAAACCCCGTCTCTACTAAAATACAAAAATTATCTGGGCATGGTGGCGCATGCCAGTAATCCCAGCTACTCAGGAAGCTGAGCAGGAGAACTGCCTGAACCCAGGAGGCGGAGGTTGTGGTGAGCCAAATCACACCATTGCACTCCAGCCTGGGTAACAAGAGCGAAACTCCGTCTCAAAAAAAAATGGCATTTGCAGCCATGCATTTTATTGTGACCACTGGTCTCATGGCTTCCTACACATTTGGTATTTATCTCAAAGAATTTTCCAACATCACTTCTGATTTCTGCTTTCATTCGCTGATTGTTTAGGAGTGTGTTATTGATTTTTATATATTCCTGAATTCAGATTTGCTTTGTTATTGATTTCTACCTTCATTCTATTGTAGAGAAGATACCTTGATTTTAGTCCTTTTAAATTAATGAAATCTGTTTCATGGCCTAAGACATGGTGTATTCCAGAGAGTATTCCAGGCGTACTTGAGGAGATGCTGTATCCTGTGAGCCTGTTGAAGGTGTTGTCAGGTCTAGCTGATTCACAGTGTTTTTCAAGTTCTCTACTTCTTTTTTGATCTTCTGTCTTATTTCTAGCCAGTATTGACAGTACAGTATTGCAAGTATTACTGGGAAGCCGTCTGTTTCTTCAATTCCACAGTCACTACTTCATAGACTGGGGGCTCTGTAGTTAGATGCACAAGTATTAATTGTTAAATATATAATGTCCTTCTTTCGCTCTTGTAATAACTTTCATTGACCTACCCATCTCTCTTTTCCTTCCTTCTTTGCCTCCTTCCTTCTTTCCTCCCTCCTCCCTCCCTCTCTCCCTCATTTAAGCTGTTGGCTGGACACAGTGGCTTACATCTGTAATTCCGGAATTGGGGAGGCTAAGGTGGGTGAAGTGCTTGAACCCAGAAGTTTGAGACCAGCCTAGGCGACATGGCAAAACCGAGTCTCTACATCTCGACACAAACAAACAAACCTGAAATTAGCCGGTCATCTGCAGTCCCAGCTATGTACTCAGGAAACTAAGGCCAGCGGATCTGTTGAGTCCTGGAGATCGAGGCTGCAGTGAGCCACGATCATACCACTGCACTCCAGCCTGGGCAACAGAAAGAGACCCTGTCTCAAAAAATAATAAAGTACATAAATAAATAAATAAACTGTTGATTGGGAGCCGTGTATGCACCAGGCCCTAAGCGGGGCATGATGAGATGGGATGAAGAGTCTGGAGACTTGGGAAAGGCTGCACCTCTGGAGGGAGGCCGCAGCTTCTCCTTCATCAAAGAGGTCCTGGAAGGGTAGGTAAGATCCCTTCAAGTCAGGTCCTGCAGAGTTCCAGGATCCCAGGTGGAGCTCCGGGTGTGGGAAGGCAGCCAGGAGGCAGCATGGGGTTGGTAGGGGTAGGGGCTGGAAGCGGGTGGGATGTAGGGAGGGGCTGTGCTACACTCACCTGTGAGCTGCATGAACTCACAGTGCAGCCCTGAAATAGGCTACCCTCCTCCGTGGCCACACCTGTCTTGTTTGTCTCCTGTTCCACGTCAAAGGTGACAGGATTGGCTTCTCCTTGCCTTTTTTTTTCCCTTGTCACCCTCAGTTCTGGTTTAGGTCAGTGTGAGGATTAATCTTAGCCTGGTGATTTCCAGGGGCAGCCATCTGCAGGCAGAGCCCCCATAGCTGGGGAGGTGAATCCCCGCCCCCATCCCTTGGCCTGGCCCCTACCCTACTCTCACCTCAGACCTTGCTATCCCTCCAGGCCTCCCTGGCCAACCACTTCACCCAGGAATCAGCTGGGTTCCTGAATGGCTGGCCCTCAGGGTCCCTGACCCAGCTCGTCCTTGACCAGAGGGAAGGCTGGGCCCAGGGAGGAAAAGGCACTTGCCCAGGATCACACAGTGTGTCACCCACAGGCCTGGGCAAGAACCCAGAGGTAATGGCAATGGCTGAGGGTAGGTGAGGGTCCCCATGGGCCTGGCACTCCCTAGGTATTCTCACTTAATCCCCAAAACCAACCTGTGGGGAGAGACCGTTGTTATCCCCCTCATACAGACGAAGAAACTGAGACCCACAGAAGGGAATCAAATTGTCCAAGGTCAAGGGCTGATCAGGGCTAAGCTTGGGTGGGACCCCTTTTCTGTCTGACGCTGGGGTTGGGACTCCCACAGCAGAGGCTCCACTTGGAAGAACATGCTCTAGAGTCCTGCATGCCTTTGCCAGCTGCCCTCCCTCCTCCTAGCCATTTGGGGGGGGGTGACCACTGGACTCTGTAGCCCTGACTTTGCCTGATTCTGCTCTGAGGCCTCTTTTCTGCACCCCTGAAATGGGATCAGAGCTGGGGAATGACAAAGGAGGTCACACCACCTGAGCACATCTGGTACCTGGCAGATGGCAGTGCCCCATACAGGCGCCCTCCATACAGGTGTGCTTCATACAGGTGTGCTCTGTACAGGTGTGCTCCCATGTGAGCTCGGCAGGCCCCTTCCCTTCCTGGTCTCGGTTTCCCCATTTCCAGATGGGAGGCCCTGGGCTGAAAGTCAGGACACCCCAGAGCTGGCTCTGCCTCACTCTCTGGGATTTAACTGCTCTGAGCCTCAGTTATCCTACCTGTGAAAAGGGACCATGATCCTGGCTGTGGGCCTCACAGAATCCCTGATTGGCTCAGCTGGATAACATGTGGCCTATATTTTAGAAATGGTACAGGCACAATACGGCCACTCATAGCGTCTCACGTCTCAACCAGGACACAGTTGGCCTTTAGGATTTGCAGATCTGGCCAGATCTCAGGCGTTCCAGGCCTTTATTCTCCACCTTGCTCCCTCTGGGCCCTCTGCAGGGCTCTGGGGCTTAGG